GTCTTAGTGTTTGTGCTTGAAGAGGTTGGCAAGGAGCAGCAAGCCAAAGTAAGCTGTTCCGCAGGAGATCAGGGCGTGTCTAAAGCCCTCAGTCCTGACATGCCGGGGTCCTGGCCGTGGATTAGCCCATGGCTGTGCTAATGCTAACGCTAAAGGCGGAGCAGGCAGCCATTAAGACTATAAGTCCTCTGGAGTGGAGCTGGAGCGACTGCCTGCTGCTTTCCAAAATCCCCCCAGGCGCATGTTCTCACTTTCTGTCTTTTACATCTCTCTCATCTTTTCCAGGCTCTTTCTCTCCCTCTGCACACTCACTCTCACTCCTCAGCTCTCTGTTGATAGGTGCTCGTGAATATCCATTCAGTGTGGGGATACATCCCTTAACTCTCCTGCTTTTCTCCCATCATGTGTTCTTCCAAGAATCTCATCCCTCTCTCTGTACCTTATACCTTTCTCCTTTTATTCGTCCCTTTCATCTCTGTACGTCTCTTTCTGTTGCCCACTCTGGCCTCCTTTAAATAAGTGGAAGGGTTTCATCTGTGGCCCAGTGGATAGGATGTCAGCTCAGTGGTCATTAAGTACATATGAGATCATATTTTTTTTAAAAGCCAAAATATTACGCAGAGACCCCACCAGCACCTCTAGTGTTCGCACTTCATTTAGGCCTCATGCATATTCATGAACCCACAGGTGAGTCTGCTGAATATTCATATCAGTGTCAGGTGATTAGAGCGAATGTGATCAGGAGAGACATAGATAATGGTAACACAGAAGGGAGGAGAGAGTTGGTGATTGGTCAAAACAAAGACCGCGACGACGGGGAAATGAGAGGGGTGAAGTGGACATCTCAACCCTTAACGTTTAGAGCTTTTATTAAAAGACTTCACCTGGAGCAGCAGCATAAAATAGAGATGGGAAATGAATTGAATCCTCTCTATACACAGAATAAAGGATAACATTCTTTGATTTACAATCTCCGGCTGTATTCTCCTCCTCTGAAAGAGAACCAAGCAGTTGACTAGCTCCTTTGAAGTCCTAACATTTTGTTACAAGCATGTGTGTGTGAGTGCGCGTGCATGCGTGAGCTGTGGTGAGTGTGCGCTGACATGCCACAGTAGCATCCTTAACTGTACACTCCTCCTCTCCCCGGACCCAAACTTGTTTTCATCTGCTCCGCTTCATGAACACCAGTTGTGTGGTGCTGCTATACAGCTTTTGGGGGGTTGGGGTGTGCTTTGTTATCTTGTCTTCCTTATCAAAACTGGGCTGCAGCTTGTAGCCTTTGTGTACTTCCTCCACTGATTGATAAAAGGAATAAAGACAGTTTTGTCTCAACTCTGCAGTTCCTGTAGCTATTAAACGAGACAAATTGGGCACATTTGGGAAAGGGGTGAGACAAGGGTTCAATGAGCCAATTAGTGACAGTACTGTGTGTGTGTGTGTGTGTGTGTGTGTGTGTGTGTGTGTGTGTGTGTGAGAGATTGTGTGTACTTTGCTGACACTACATGCCCAGCAAACTGCTGAAACACAAGTACCTCCAGTGGAGCTGAGATACTTAAAGGGGAAAGAGGCACTCTGTTTAGATACACCTCAAATCATTGCATATTATTGTTTTATTAGTGTTGTTATTAATAATAATAATGATATTGTTATTATTTTTTATTATTATTATGCAGACCAATAATGTGACTTCATTACATTTGATTGAATCATGCCTGGCGATGTAAACACAAGGCTCTGGTTTTGTTTCGTTGAGCCTTTAATTAAACGACGTATCTTCGCCGTGCCACGTTGTTCATGGAGACAAGGTTGCTGTGGAAACCACAGAGGATGTCAGGTGATGTCAGGTGTGAGAGGCTGTCTACAGATATGCTCGAGAATAACGTCAACATTGTTAAGAGTGTTCATCTCTCTGTGGATAAAATTAACTGACCAAAAAGGGGGGAAAAGAGTTAAAGGTGCTTATGAAATCATCCACTGTTATTCTCACCATGGCCAGTTTTTAGTGTCACATGAACTAATGCAAAGCAGTGAGAATACTGTTGCCAATTAGGGATTAGTCTTACTTTGTGGAAGCACCCTTGAGGCTCATTAAAAAGCACACAATAGAATAGAACATGTGATGACACTTTAAACAGGTACTGTGACAGCCTGACACACAGTTGAGGGAATTCATATACATGATGAACGGCCTTGTGAGCGACGATTGAACTGGCTTCCTACGCTGCGTCTCTTCCAACAATCTGCCCTCATATACGAAATTCTATACACCATAAAGACTTTTTAGCCGTTTTTTCTGCCGTTTGCGTCAGACGATGCATCGATTGGACTGTGGCCGATGGCTGCGGCGTAGCTGAGTTAAGAAGCCTCACTCTCAGAGGGAACGGACGCGTGTCAGAGGATGTGGCAGGCTGGTCTGTGAAGTCGCTGTTCTCTTACTGAGGCATTTCACAGCATCGGGAGTTAGGAGGGAGCGGAGACTTCAGGTTGTTTTGGGACATAAAAACAACGTATTTGTTCTTCCATTTTATGTGTCCCACTTACTCTGCTTGAGTGAGTGCTTAGTTATGATAACTTGTAATAGCTCATGAAGCTACCTGATAGGGCTTGAATAATTAGCCTGTTTTCGCTTTGAAAAAAGCATTTCTGTAAACACTGATGTACGGCAACAGGCTCTCGGCGCCCAGTTTTTCTCCTGGCTGCGGATTCAAACTTCAAATGGGAACGGCAGAGAATTGTTTTGTCCTGTGCCAATCCAATCCTGCATGGTTCCACTTCAGGAGGTTCGGAGGTAATTCTCCTGTATAAAAAAAAAAAGAAAAAAAAAGAAAAAAAAAAGAAAAGATTGCCAGGATTCTGCAGGCTCGGCAGTAATTCCGGATGCGGAGATTGTCAGGCTTCCTACCAAGTCTCTAGTGGGTACCGAGGCAATGTTAACGACTCATTTCAGACGCTTGCTCAAACAGGGTGGTCTGGCGATGCCTTGCAGCCGTGCATCTTTTGAATGCGTCTAGGTGTGTACATACTGTATGTAACGCAAATATGCAGAATCACAAACAGCTGTCATTTGAGCATCTGTGAGGGTGAGGTTCCCAGGCCAGATGGCTATGACCCGAGGCAGTTGATCAGTCAGTCGGTCCGTCATATTACAGCCTAGCGTGAGCTAGGAGCGGACATGAAATTGGGAGATGAAGGGGTTGTTTTAGAATGCAGGAAAGGCGCAGAGAGGAAAATTAAATGTAGAGTTTTGTATTGGGTCAGATTTGTGCCAGTTTACATGTGCATATTCCTGAACAAGGCTGGATATCCTTTGCAATTTGTCGCACTAATACAATACCAGAGTTGGGGTACCAATCCCCAACAATACTTTTTTTTTTTTAATACCTCACATTGAGCAATATTAACCCATTTTTTCACAAAAAAAGAAGCCAACATTGTCTAAACACAAGCAGTACAAGAATTTTGTCAAAATGAAATGCATTCACATCTCCAAATCTGAAAGAGTGTGATTAAAGAATACATGAATGAGAGTTTGAATCTGACTAAGCATGTGGTGAGAGCTTTTGGCACTTGAAACATCCTAAATAAGTATATTTGTTAAACTGATTTACATACAAGGAATAGTATCAAAGGCTGCATTTGATGTGCTTCTTGTGCAAACGTACATATAAAAGGGATCTTTGTAGGTTGTTGTATTTGTGCGATGTTTTTTTTATTTGGACAATTCTGGCAGACATCGGGGCTCTCACCCTAAAATAGGCATTCATCTCTCCTTTTTGTGGGACAGGGCTGGAAGACATTCTGCAGTTAAATGTCCGCTGCTACGATCAATTAAGTGAATTTGTTTCCCCAATTTGACCTCGGCCAACAAACGACTCTTGGCTCGCTGCCAGCGTACCAACGCTAGAAAGTGCTACCAATCAAGTCGTTATCGCTGAGGTCAAAGATGGTTCCATTTGTTGACAGAGATGCACACGTGTGATTGTTCTACATTTATTCAAGCTGTGTGATATTTGTTTGAGAGCAGGTAAATGCACCAGAGATTATAATTGTTTGGAACAAATCTTATTTATTCTAGAAAAACAATCTATGAATCTCATGTTTGAGGATTGTGTGATGTGAATAGTTTTCCTGTGTTTTAGGGCCGTGTGTTTGTGTGTTTGTGTGTGTTTTCTACATTCCCTGTGCTGAACTAATCCCCCCCCCCCCCTCCAAGCGTTTGACAGCGAGGCCCTGGTCGTGGTCACACCTGATGTACCTGCAGCTAATCCTATCCCACAACCGATGTCACTGTAACCAATCCTGTCACAGCACTCAGGGCAGCCTCAGCTTCCTCCTGACATCTCTGTCACGCCTCTCTATTATCTCCTCCCTCTCCTATCTGCTCTCTTCCCTGCCTTGCCCGACTTTATATGAATGGGTTCCTTCTTCCTTCTGTTTCCTCCTGTTTTTTGGCAGACTATCAGACCTCCTGCACTGTTTTTTTTTTCTTGTATCTTACCTAATAATATCCACAGCCGAACTTTACAGTCCACCCCCCTCTCCTTCACCCTTGTTTCTTCTGCTGTTCTGCATCTTAGCTTACATTGTTTACTTTGATACCCACAGACCTACCATCCCCTCAGCTTTGATTTGCCTGACATTTCCTCCTCCTTTCCCTCGTATTTCTTTCTTTCCCTTTGTCACCTGCCTCACCCACCCACGCGCCACTATCTTTTCCTGCCCTGCTGCCACCAGAAATAAACCCAGCTACAGGTCGTCTGTCACAAAAACAGAAACTGCATTGTGTACCTATCGCCGGTGCTCACATTCTCCTGCACCCAAAGGAATGACTGTCTGCTCTTTTACCTTCCCTCCTGAACCC